ATCCTTCGATTTCAGGGCAAACTCCTACATCCAACGCCACTGTCGCCCCATAGATAGATAGATGTAGGTAAATAAAAGGTGATACATATGAGGGTCAGCTGGAAGCTCATCTTCAAGAAGAGCCGAAGAGCATTTTGATGGGAGCTGAAACAGCTTTCACAAACAAGACCACATTGGATGGATATGTCCTGTACGACTGAAAATCTACACCAGCCTTACTACAGTGCCACACCTACAATCAGCTCAGTATATAACAGCATCTATAACAGCGATCCATTTCAATTCCAGGTCTTAATCCAATAAATTATCTATAGCAATACTTAAAATGGGATCTAGAAAAAAAAATAAATAACCATGACTAATCAGGTAATTTTGGAAATCTGAATGAGAAGTAAAACCTTTATTTTTATTTGTGAAAAAGGAGGCTGAATATAATTGCACACACGTTTAAGATTTTCAAAATCAAAACACTTTGGAAACATCTAATCTGCTTCCAATTCAGGTATGCACTCCTTTGTGTTCACCCACCACATTCAGTTCCTGTAAAGTGCATTGAAGTTTTTTGTTCTAAAGTGAAAAATGTCATAAACCTGATTGAGGATGAGCAGTTTAGCAAAGCATTGTAGATTTAGGGGTGAATGTAAACAGTGTCCAGTGGGGGGCATTTCAATCGAACCTCTATGATGAATATTATTAATATTTTTGATCTAATCTGACCTAAATCCTCGTGCTCTGGGCTTACAATGGCTAAACTGTGGAATACTTATGAGCTAATATAACCTCTTTCTCTCACATATTACCAGGGCTTTCTCCCATATCTGATAGGAGTCATTTCATTTAAAGGCTAAAAATGTTACTACCGCCCTTAATGCAAATTGGGAAAAGTTATCCTCCTTTTGTAACTGCTGTATTAAGAAGCTGTGACTGATTTCAAACAATAATAGCTTTTAAAGATACAGCATCAAATGGTAAATCAACTTCCTAAATCCAATTTAAATACTTTTTACGATGTTTGACAAGCTTTACATATTCATAATGTGCAAAGTTCCCACCCCAAATCTAGACTTTTTTGCAGATTCCATGCTTTAAGAAGGGGTTTGAAGATTTTCTTGACACTTCCCTCTTATGTTACTGGAAACAAGATCCTAATGCTGGAAGAAGCACTTGGTGTAATTAACAGAGCCAGAGCACAGAAAACTTTCTGCCAAAACTCTGAGGTTTAGTGGAAAGGACCTTGTATTAGTACCAATCTATTTGCATTTAAGTCTATAAGGAAGTCAAGCTCACAATTAAATTTATTTGAAGTTTGCAGCCGAATAAGAAAAAATAGTAGCAGATTGGTACTCACACTAGAAAGTGGTAGAGGAAGCATTTCAATCCTGCAGGTCTTTCTAGAAAGTTGTAAACATCCCCCTGCATGCTAGTCTTAATGTAAGGACTCTGGAACTCCTTCTGATGATTGCGCAGCCAGCTGGAGCGAGGCAGAGGTGGCGGGATAGGGGTCACAGACGGTTGGCTGTGTGCGATCTGCAACTCCGGATCCTTTGTGTCAGCTGGAGGCAGGCAGGGGAAGCCTGATCCATTATTCACCGCCTGGGGGTCTATTTCCAGCGAAACTGGTGAGTAGCGGCTGATGTCAGGTGCAGGAACCCGCAGGGCGCTGCAACCGGTGGTGGAACCAGCGGAGGCTGCCAGGTCCATCTCCTGGTCCAGGCTGAGGCTGATGCTCGTGCCGGCACATCCATTGGGGCTGCAGCGTATGAAGGAGCTCCTCATCCTGCTGCCGTAGTCCCGTTGTACATGGCAGGTCATGTGGAAGGAGCGGGCTCGCCTTTCCCCCATTATGCCCCTTTAGGGTGGTCTGGCTGGGGCAGAGGGGGCTAACAGCGACTTTAAAATCCTGGAGGTTCTGACCAAGGTTCTGATAGGAGGGAGCAGCCCAGCAGAAAATGAGAACTAGCTACCTGCAGCTGAGAGGAGGGCTCTTTGTGGGGCTTCATATGTGTCCATACCTAAAAAAGAAAAGGTGGCATGAGTCACAAAGATGTACAGTATAAATATCATCGCTTACATAGTGCACTGATCTTCTCTTGTTTGACCTTTATCTTAAATATTACTTCGAATGAAAGTTTAGATTAAAATTAAGCATGCAAAGTTGCCATGACAACATGTAAACAATTCAGGAGAGTTTCACAGCTTGTAAAAATAGAAAAAAAGCCTTAAGCTGAAAGGAAATAAAAAGGTCATCTTCGTCACCATTTCCAAACTACACATTATATTCAGTTTAATGGTATTTCTAACTCATTAATATGAAGCAACAAAAGAATTGTGACTTAACTGTTAGCTTTCAGAAGTCACCAGCCAGTTTTGTGTTTCTCCTGCTGGGTGTAATAGCTGCATTTCCCTAACAAACTTGCACCAAACTGTAGGGCTATAATGTAAAAAAAAAAAAAAAAAAAATGTAAATGCCCTTATGTTGAACAAAAAAAAATGCATTTAAAATCACACATGAATAAGTTTGTTCAGGCGATAACTCTGCAGGTAAAGTAGGACTAGGCTATGTCAAAAACAGTTTACTTTTGAGAAAACGTTCACACAGCCAAGGCTTAATGCATCTTAAATTGTTCTGTAGTGTTGTTTGGTATGAGGAGATACAATACAATCCTCACTGCTGCACCAAATATGGAATAGTAATCATTATTATAAAATCATGTTTGCAATATGCTTTGTTTGTTCTAGCAGTCAGCACAGGATTTAGAGATGGGAGGAATTCCTCAAAAATAATTTGCAACCAAAGGAGTAACTAAGCAAGATCTATAATTTCAATTTTAAATTTTTTTTTTTAAGAGAGCGCTGTGAAGAGAATTTGTAAATAAAGCTACTTCTTGACCTCAGAACTGAGAAACGTCTGTGATAGGACTACTTTGATGCTCAAAAATGTATGTTCACACTTGGTATTTTCTAAGCTTTGTAGAATATTCAGCTAAGAATTATTGAAAGTCATTAAAATAATTAAAGCTCCTTCCGTTGCAAAGACATGTTGATCAGAAACAAACTTTTTCGGGGGATGTTGTTGGGAGAATTTCATTGTTTGCTGTTTTACTACCACTGGGGCTTAAAATGACAGTCCATTGTTTCAAGCTGAAGATTTCCATTCATAAAAAACAGTCTTATAAAAATGCTAAACTGAAATGCTGCATTCTTTTGACCTCTGTCATCATAATAAATAAATAAATAACAGGTAATGCTGTGCTTTTATTTAATGTTTTACAACGTTCCAGTATGCGGCACCCTATCTCATTTCCACCGTCTCGCTCTGAGGATTTTCTTTTGTGAAATCTCCATTCTGCGTGATCGCTCTGGATGGTCAACAAACACCCCTCCCTCTCTTTCCCTCTTCTCCATCTGGAAAGGCAAAACAGATGCACCACATGCACTTGGAATATATATAGAGAGAAAATAATTCAGCTGTCCACACCAGAGTGTAAGCCCCCGAATGTGACCTTTTGCTTAATGGTTAAACAAAAACATGTCACATCAACGTGCAGCTGGATAAAAAAAAAATTAGACTCATAATAATGCAGAGAGCTGTGGCAACGTGCATTACTGTTCACTGACTTCTCTTTCACTTTTTTTGTCCTCAACAGCAAGTCACATCAGATGGACACTTTGAGGCAGAAACAGATTATATTCAAACCTAAAGTTAAGGTGCCATGGAAAGCAGCTTATATCCTTGATTTTTAGTTTTTTTTTTTTTTTTTTAAAAAGCTGGTTACTTTGAAGTATTGTGTAATAAACAAACACAAAATAGAACCAAACTAAGAATAGAAAAAGGGTACATAGAGGTTTAGAAACAAAAATACTGACGGTTATCATAGTGAGGGGACTTAAACAATCATGAATCATTGAAGGTGATAGCTTAAGAGCAGCCTGTAATGGTATCTTAGAAGCATTTTATTGGCTTTGTTCAAAATGTGAATAGTCCCACACATTCTCATCTTCATACTTTAGACCTTGTGCTGACATATGACATTGAATGTGAAGAAAAGCAGTATTCCCTCACAACCCTGCCCTCTCTGACCACTTTTTGATAACCTTCAGGATTGATTTAGCGGAGTTCTCCTCCCCCAAAACAGGGTTTCCCTTTGGCAGATCATTATCAGATAGTGCAGTATAAATTTTAAAGAATCTGTTTCACTTTCTCTCTCCTCTGTGTCGCTGAGCAGTGCTGAAGAGTGCAAAAGTTTAGCTTATTCCCCTTCACAGGTTAATGCAGAGCTGTGCACTCTGAAGCAAAATGCAAGGAAACTGGAGAGAAAATGTTGCTTTACATGCCTACGGGAATCCTAAGTAGTCTGGAAAAATTGTTTGCTGCTGTATACAAGGAACCTTTTTAACGCAGGAGCAACATATTTCTCCTCATTTATAGAACAAATAAGAATAATCCTAGATATCTTTTTAATACAGTTGCCAAACTCACCCAGAGCCATAGCTCTGTTAAACCGTCCATCCCACCTGCTCTTAGCAGTAATGATTTTATGGGATTCTTTATAAATAAGATTATTTTTATTAAAAATAAGATCATTAGCACTCCTCTAACTATGAATGGTTTATTTGTGGAAGGTGAGGCAGCCTCTGTGGTAGCCATAGAATTTGAACAGGATTTAGACTGCTTTGATTCAGTTGAACTTTCAGAGTAAGGAAATTATTGCCTTAATCTAAGCCTTCAACTTGTATGTTAGATCCAGTTCCAACCAGGTCATTTAAGTAAGTATTCGCTTTGATCTCCTCCTCCATTTTAGATGTGATTAATCTATCCCTGTAACAGGGATATGTACCAAAGGCTTTTAAGGCTGCTGTAATTAACCTTAAAAAAATATAATTATATAACCTCAAAAATTTTATCCAATCTTCCTTTCTTATCTAAAATTCAACCACTTACACTATAATGAACTTTTTGAAGAGTTTCAGTCTGGCTTTAGAGCTCATCATAGCACTGAAACAGCTCTGTTGAAGGTTGCTAATAATATTTTTATGGCCTCAGATAATGGACTTGTATCTGTGCTTGTTTTGATACAGTTGATCATAAAATTCTTTTAGAAAGACTTGAATACTTGGTAGGGATTGAAGAAACAGTGCTACACTGGTTTAAATTGTATCTATCTGAGGATTTCAGTTTCATTTTCAGTTCCACTTTGTATCTCTGCTTCTTTCTGTATGTCTGCTTCTGTCTCCTTGAACCCCACTTGGCCTCGGCAGATGGCCTCTCACACTGATCCTGGTTCTAATGGAGGTTTCTTCCTGTTAAAGGGAGTTTTTCCTCTCCACTGTAGCTACAAGCATGCTTAGTGTGAGGGATTGCCTTTGAGTCAATGAGTTAATGCAGTCAATTGGTTTTCCTTAGATAGAAAACTTTAAATCGATTTGAATGTATGATCTGGTTGAATTGCAAAGTGCCTTAAGAAAACATGTTTGGATTGGCGCTATGTAAATAAACTGAATTGAAACAGCAACCAGACTCTACAAAGCGACAATACAATAGCAATAACTTGTGCAATGTATAATGTGCAATTTACTATTTGATACCCTGTGCAACAACCTGTGTCTACATATTTGACACTTCGTGCAATAACTATATATTTAAATATAAATATCCATCTATATAAATACCCATGTATGTGCAATAACCCTGTATAATGATCCTACTATGAAAAACCTATTTTATTAACAAAGAAAAAAAAAAAAAAAAGCTGTCATATGTGGACACACTCTATATACTGTATATATACCCCATACACCTTTTTCTTCCTTTGGTACATTCTTCTCCTTTGACTATCTGAGCTGATGTAACGAGTTAATTTCTCCACTGTGAGATCAATAAACTCAATCAATCAATAAAGGATTGAATTGAAAAATTGTGGAGTTCTTGATCTACTGTGCAAGTTTGCATACAGTAGATTAAACTCAGAATCTCTTAATATAACTTAAATCTTCCTCAAAATGGGTTGAGATCGAGACTTTGATGGGACCATTCCATTATATGAACACATCTCAATTCTAAACTGTTAATTGCATGCTGAGTCAATGACAAAATGCAAGTCAATGTTAACTGGTTCTATGTGCTCTTCCAGGGGTAGTGAAACCTGTAAAGTCAATGACTCAATGCAGTCGGCTAGGCTACCTGAGAAAAACATTTTTCTACTGGTTTTTCTGTGTGGGTTGACTAAATTGCCATTATAAAGTGCCTTAAGATGACGTGCTATAAATAAATAAAACTGAATGGACTTGTAGTGTCCGCTGTTTATTCAGAGACTTTCGACTCATGAATTGATAACAAAAGGTATTTGAATATAGAGGGATTTCTTCTAGGATTGCTCTGTATTTAGATCCATCTATCTGCGCTTTGAACAGCTTTCCTGTCTCTCTCCCTGGAGAATAATGCTTCCATCTCCACATTTTACAGTGACTATGATATATTTACAGTAATGCACAGTGTTAGTTTGCATGGTTTTCTTTTTAACTGTGTTCCCTGCATGGCTTTTGGCAAAAGATGAACAGAACTTATTATAGCTTCCCTTCAACAATAACTTCATTATTGCCTCTTTTGATTAAAGGCCAGATTTGTGAATAACACTGAGGACAGTTTTTCTCACCTAAGCTATAGATGAGCTACCCTGTGTCTCTTTGCTGTCTCTACATCTAATGTTTACCTTTTTCTGGATCTGTTTAGGTGGATGACCATGACTTTATAAAATATGTCACTTCTGAAAGACATGGATTTACTGGAATTATTAGGGGTAAAAGAATACAAGGGGACTGAAAACAAATGCTGAACATTTTTTAAATAAGCTTTAAGAAGATGTACATGTCGTTCAGTTTACAATCATGCACTAGTTTCCTTTTATCTGTGACATAAGATTCTCCTAAAAAAGTTCTGGGAAAAAAAATAATTATTGTGAATAAGTTTATGAGTTATAAAAGTTTTATTCTACTATATAAATGATTACCACTCTTTTTATCAAAGAAAACAGGTGATATCAGCAAGGCTTCTTGTTCTAAGATGTATTTGTGCTATGACTAGTTTATTTAAATTTTGTTTTTTTATGCTTGTCTCAGTCTAAAAGGTTGCTTTGATGTAAAAAAGAAAAAAAAGAACTGAGAAGGCTTCATAAGTAGTTTAATGTTGCTTTTTGTTTTCTGAATCCCTGTTTGGTTTGGATTAAAATAGTTTGACTGACATCTCCAACTTGAACAAAACTTCATCCCATTATTTGGGAGATATCTAAAAAATTGCATTAAACTAGATCAAATGTAGTTAAGAAAAGTGAAAACTCATCCTTTTTTTCCTACATTTGAAAATGACATTTCTATAGGAAACTATACTTAAAACTGAAAGAGGAACACTTTCCATTTTTCACTCACATGAAAAGTTGGCAGACAGCTTTTATTTCTTAAAAATAAACAAATAAATAAATAAATAAATAAATAAATAAATAAATAAATAAATAAATAAATAAATAAATAAACAATTCACCCTATATGATTGGAAAAAGTCTCCTTGTGGCACAAAGGCAGGGGTGGGGGACTGCAATTGAAAGCAGGCACCTGAGCTAAAGATGACTTCTGGCTTTGAAAGCAGCACCATAACACACAATGTATCTAATTACCGAGCACTGTGGTCTAAGAGAGCTGAACCCCCCGGAAGGTGGGCAGTAAAACATAACTCTTCCACACCGTTGTTTACTGTTTATCGCATAAATAAATCCCCACATAAGAGATGGGATTTATTTAAAATAAATAAAATAAATAAAAAATAAATAAAAGTAACTGTCCTCAGAAACTATGCAGCAGACGTGCAAAAATTATAAATATGTCAACAACAACAAAATCGGATTTACCTTAAACTCCAAGCTGAAGTTGTAATCTGCAAGTAATGTAAATTCCGGCTGAGACAAGAAAAAATTCCCTTCAGAGCTTTTCAAAAAAAAACAAACCCCATTCATACAATGCGTATAATAAATAAATCATCCAGCAGCGTTCAGAAACAACGGTAATATCGCGAATGCAATCAAAGCAGCTGTCTTCTACCGGTTCCTGCCTCTAGGACCTGTCTCCTTGAAGCGCATCGCAGCTGCGCCTGGCCATATGCGACATTTAAAGGTTATTGGACATTGCACTACCGTCAATGTAAAGTCAAATATAACCACTATCTATGCAAGCACACTCAAAATGGCAGGAACATTCATTTTAATTGATAAGGTTTAACGATTCTCTTACGTTTTTTTTTATTATTCTGCACAACTAATTAGGTTAATATACTCCTACATTATTAATGTTGTTAAATTTTTAAAACTCTATTTGCCTTATTTTCCATTTATTAACTTGCGGTTTAAGCTACTATTTACACTAAAGTGGACCTTAAAACCTAATGCCAGGCGTGTTCAATTCATTTGGAGTTGATAATAAAATATTTACATCCTTTCTGTTTAAATATGAACTAAAGCTAAATTTGCACTTGATATATATTTGAATATGAAACCCATACTTTAAATTTTATATTCAAAGACCAGATAAAATTAAATTATTATTTGCTCATATGAGTATGAAAATCATAACGAGAGTTTGGTTGTTTAAAACGGGCTTCTGTAAACCAATAAGGGTCTCAGTTTATGAACGTGTACAGTAGCAGTTGGAGCAAAATATATCAAATATGTCAATTTTCCGGATAGTCATTGAAGGCAGCAGCTGTTTGGAGAGCAGCAGCTGGCAGATGGAGAGCCAACAGCTGGTCACGCGTATGGAGCGCTCGCGCGTTTATGGATAATATCTAAGAAGATAAATAAAGGCAGGATATCACAGATGATTTTTAAAACATTATTCTCTTAGCCGCGGCGAGAGGATTGTCATTAACTAACTCCAGTCGGTTTGTAAGTCTCTTTTTTATCTGCAGGAGGCGCTAAAATACTCATTACTGGTAAAAACTCACAAAGCATTGTCACTTCTCGGATTCCGTAGATTGAGAGAGGAGAAAACATGGCGCTACTCGGTGGCAGGATGTTTCTGTCTCTAGGTCGAAGTAACATTTCTAATTTGGGGTTAAAGCAAACAACAAATAGAGTCACATATGCCACGGCTTTGTCCGTAAATTCTTCCGCTGGGAATAAAGGTGAGCTTTTTGCAAAAAAGGTCATTATTGCGAAAATGACTATAAAGGTCTACAGATGCAGGCTAAGCTAATCACTTGAGTTACCAAAGCAAATTAGCCAACAGTCTCACCTCTTAAGGTGGAGGTTAAAAGATGTCGACTTAACTTGAGTGTAAAACTTAAATAATAATGTTTTACTACTAATTCTAATCAATTATGTTTTTGTATTTTTTAAGATCAATTTAGTAGAACTTGCTTTCAGAAAAATGTGCTGCATTATAATACCTGATGTTTAAGATGTCGCATCGCTGCAGATTCATAGAAGCTCAGATGTGTCCTCCTTTTAGATTAGCATGAGAGTTTCTGAGAAAATAAAGATATTACAGAAGGTGGCAGCACTGCATTATATGAAGTTTCATTTCCCTGCTGCTCATCGGTATCTACTTACAGTGTTTTGGACAAGTAAATAAAAACCCCTAAGACTTTTCAAAAGTTGAATATATATATAACTAAGGTTGGAATGCCTCAGTCTTCTTATTTAATGGGATATTTTAATGCAGCATGTTTTTAAATGAAGATGTCCATTAAGTTATATTTGATGGATGATATGAACAAATAAAACTGTGCCTTTTTTATGAAGACACATTTACTCTGATACCTCTAAAATAAATTAGCGCAAAAGTGTTTTTTCTATAAGAATTAAGTAAAATATGCACACCAAAAAAAAAATGGATTACATGCCAAAAAATTCAAGTCATATTTGTATAATGTGGCAGCATCATCCTGAAGAGATTTTCTTTCCGTAGGAACAGCACAGGCTCCTAAATGTGTAGATTTAGGGGCTTAATTAAAAGGGGGGAAGACCTGAAAGAAAGCCTGTTACAGGCAGCAAAAGACTTAAGACTGTGATTAAGGTTAACCTGTCATAACTTAAACATACAGTCTGAGAACGACTGAATGATTCAATCAAAGCCTTTTTCTATGTTAGTGAAGACGAGTCAAATTTCTACACTTTCCAATAGAGAACCTCAGAATCAGTTTTAATCACAGAGTTGCCTAATACAAAAGGAAATGTAGCTTGAATGAAAACATTAAAAATACAAAAAAAGCTATATATATATATATATATATATATATACACACACACACAAACACACAATATTGACAAGAAGGGAAACTTATTTAATCATTCCTTTTCTCTTTTATATTTCCTTAACATAATCTTCCCGATTCCTGCTGTAATTACTGAGTCCATACTTCTCCAAAGCCAACTGTGTAAACAATCAATATAATGTTTTTATTGTCATTTCACTTTCACAAGTACAGAGCAATGAAATCGACATTCTGCATTTAACCCATTTAATTTGTGTATTTGTGTAAAATAATGTGGATATGTACATCTAAATACTAGGGTGGAGGAAGGCATGCGCAAATGAACTTGAAACAAAAGAAGAACAACAGATGCTGTGGAGAACTTACTTCTTGAGTTACATCAGAGAATAATGACTCTATTGGGTCTTTTTCTAAACAGTGTCTGTTTTTGTGGACTATCAAATGCCCCAACAAATTATGTGATCCAAAGTACATGCAGTGTTGATGAGAGTAGGTAGTGAGGTGGGGAGAGTTCTCCAGGAATCCACCATCGCCAGGGGATTGGGCTGGTTATTAGTTTTACATACCAACTACAAAACATTGTATTTGAGATGGCCTTTTTGTTTTCATGTGTCTATATATATATATTAGGGGTGGAATGGTTCACAAAATCCATGGTTCGGTTCGGGTCACAGTTCATGGTCACGGTGTTCGGTTCGGTCTTGTACAACGCGTGTTGCACAATGCTTGCACACTGTTGTTGTTGTTTATCCACAACTTTCTTTCCGCCATCATCGTAGGTCACTCTAAATGCAAAGTGGTCCCATACAGCAGACCTATAAAGTGCTGCTGGCACGTCTTCCAACTAGGGTGGCCATTTCTATAGCACCAAAAAGGTGGACATTGTGCTGCATATCAATAAATTACTAAGGTGTACATAAGATTCGGGTAAAGTCACATTTATAGTACAATTCTTAGTAGTTTAAAGATGATGCTTGTGTAGCTGAATAGAAAAAAATATTAAAGAGATGTAAAAAAGAATTGGTTCCCAGCATTTGTATTTTTTTAATACATTGTGGTGTTTAAAAAGTGACCATTTTTTGATGTGATTAATTTGCGCAGAACTGCTGCACTTTATCATAAAGAAGTTGTTTGGAAAAGAAGCTCGAGGCGGAGAAAGAGCTAGAGAATAGGACGATACAAATTTCAAAAAGTGGCTGGAAAAGAGGAATT